CTACTGGTAAGCACAATGTACATATTCCAAAATCTGAAGAAATCTAAAATGCTTCTGGTCCCAAGCATTTTGGATAAGGAATACTCAACAGGATGTATAAGATTGTCCAATGAATTGTCATGTACAAGAATTTTTTTTTTTTAGTTGGAGTCGCCCTCCTTCACCCAGACTGGAGTACAGTGGCATGCATGCTCACGGCCACTTCAGCGTCGACCTTCAGGCTCCAGTGATCCTTCTGCCTCAGCCTTCTGTGTAGCCGTAACTGCGGATGCGTACTACCACAGCTATTTTTATTTTATTGTAGAGATGAGGTCTCACCAAGTTGCCCGGGCTGGTCTTGAACCTGTGGGCTCAGGCACTCCATTTGCCTTGGCCTCCTGAAGTGCTGGGATTACAGACTGAGCCACTGAGCCCGGCCAAGAATTTTTTTAAAAGTTTTTTTTTTAAGGTCTTTGATAAAGTTAGGTTCCACAGTGCAGCTGACCTTTAAGAAACTGCCACTTGTCAAGTTTTGGTATACTATTAAAAAAGAATATCCTCTGAGTTGAGAGGATTGCCTAAGCCTGGGCAACTTGGCGGGACCTCATCTCTACAATAAATCAAAAAAATAGCCGGGTGTGGTAGCGCATGTAGTTCTGGCTACTTGGAAGACTGAGGTGGAAGGATCACCTGAGCCCAGCAGGTCGACACTGGGATGGCCATAAGTGTGCCACTGCACTCCAGCCTGAGCGATGGAGTGAGACTCCACCTCAAAAAAATATATATATCCTCAGTTATCTGAAAAGACTATTAAAAGTACTCCTCCTTTTTCCAAGTGTGTATCTGTTTGAGACTGGATTTTCATATACTTCAACCAAAATGTGTGTCAGACTGAAGCAAATGTCCACACAGAAGTAGATATGAGAATCCAACTTTCTTCTGTTAAACCAAGTATTAAGGAGATTGGCAAAAAATGTAAAACTGTGCTACTTTTCTCACTACATTTTTTTTGTTTTTGAAATTACTTTTTATAAAAGCATTTTTAAGAATATAAAAGAATCTCCTAAGGCCAAAAAAGTCTGTAGTTTCTTGGTTAGAATTTAATTGCAGCATCCTAGTTGTGTACTGGTGGTGGAGAACAAGGCATGCCCTAATAGAAGGCTTCTTGGTTTGAGGATTCTAGTTCTCAAAAAGGAATTTGTACGTACTTTACTCTATTGATAAATTTATATATCATTTATATTTATTTATTTATTTATTTTTGAGTTGGAGTCTCACTCCTTTGCCCAGGCTGGAGGACAGTAGCATGCATGCTCACGGCCACCCTAGCGTCGACCTGCTGGGCTCCGGCGATCCATCTGCCTCAGCCTTCCAAGTAGTGGAACTACAGGCGTGTGCTACCATGCCTGGCTATTTTTTTATTTTTTGTTATAGAGACACGGTCTCACCAAGTTTCCCGGGCTGGCCTCGAACCCGTGGGCTCGGGCAGTCCACTCGCCTTGGCCTCCCAAAGTGGTGAGATGGCAGGCTGAGCAAGTCCAGTCACCCCTCTGTATCTGTGGGTTCCACCCTCTGTGGATTCAGCCAATTGAGGATTGAAAATAATCAGGAAAAGTGGCCCAATGTGACATTTAAAAAAAAAAAAAGGATCCTTGCATATGCTATTCTTGTTTGTGTTCATTGTAATATGCCTGTGGTCCTAAATAATCAAATATACATTTTAGAGTTGCTGTTCAGTTAGTTTCGTTGTCCTAGTAAATGTTAGTTGAATTTGAGTCTATTGGATTCAAATATGTATATAAAAAAAATATATATATATAAAATATATTGATCATATATTTTATTCATTGAGAATGTGAAAGAACAAATGTTAATCGTTTATTTCCAGAATAAGTTGGGCTTTCCCAGGCAGTTATATTATATTCAGAATTGCTTCATCCAAAAATCATCTGAAGCCATGGACATATCCTAACCTCTTCCATTACTTGATAATATAAGTAAAAGAACTGATTTTTTTTTTTTTTTTTTGAGTTGGAGTCTCACTCTGCCACCCAGACTGGAGTGCAGTGGCTGCTCCCGGCCACCGCAGCCTTGACCTGCTGGGCTCTGGCGATCCTTCCGCCTCAGCCTTCCAAGTAGCTGGAACTACAGGCACGTGTGATACCCAGCTCATTTTTGATTTATTGTAGAGATAAGGTCTCACCAAGTTGCCCAGGCGGGTCTGGAACTCGCGAGCTCAGGCAATCCACCCACCTCAGCCTCCCAAAGGCGTGGGATTATAGGCTGAGCCACCGAACCTGGCTATAACTGATTTTAAAAAGAAAAGATTCAGGAAAAAATGATGTGTGTATCTGTGCCGAACGTGTACAGTTTAATCTCTGAACAATACATATAACAGTTATTTATACAGCATTTACATTATAATGGATATTATAAATCTAGAGATGATTTAAAGTTTATAGGAGGATGTATGTAGGTTGTATGCAAATATTATGCTATTTTATATAAGTAACTTGAGCATCTGTGGATTTGGTATGGGGGGGACTAGAACCAATCCCCCAGCATACCGAGGGATGATGTACCCTGCATTATGGAAAGATACAGACCTCTTTCTCCACTGAATCGTCCAGAAACCATAAAGAATTGGAGACCATTATCCTCAGTGAATGAACGCAGGAATAAAAGCCTATGTTATATACCCCATGTTCTCATTTATAAATGGGAACTAGACTGGGCTCGGTGTAATCAGCTCAGGCTGTAATCCCAGCACTTTGGAAGGCTGAGGTGAGTGGATTGCCTGAGCTCGCAGGTGCAAGACCAGTCAAGGCAACTTGATGAGCCCTTGTCTCTACAATAAATAAAAAATTAGCTGGGCTCAGTGGCTCAGCCTGTAATCCCGTGCTTTGGGAGGCTGAGGTGAGCAGATTGCCTGAGCCTGCGGGTTCGAGACCCGCCTGGGCAACTTGGTGAGACCTCATCTCTACAATAAATCAAAAATTAGCTGGGCGTGGTAGCGCGCGCCTGTAGTTCCAGCTACTTGGAAGGCTGAGGCGGAAGGATCGCTGGAGCCCAGCAGGTCGATGTTGGGGTGGCCGTGAGCATGCCACTGCACTACAGCCTGGGTGACAGATTGAGACTCCAACTCAAAAATAAAAATAAAGTAAAATAAATGGGAACTAAGCTAAGAGTCTTCAGAGGCATAAAGAATGGCATAAAAGGTATTGGAAACTCAGAAGGGGGAAGATGAGAAGGGGGGGAGGGATGAAAAATTACCTGTCGAATACAGTGTGCAGTAATGGGGGTGACAGGAACACTTAAGCCCCAGACTTCTTTATTACTGTACTAGCAACCATGTAAGCAAACATCATTTGAACCTCTAAAGCTATTAAAATAAAGAAAATTATATTTTAAAAGACCATAAGGAATAATGATAGTGGACTTACATTTCATTTAATTTGAACCCTTTGTATCTTAGAGTTTCTCGTTATCCCTGAATGTCTAAAACGACATGAGGAACATAGAAAGGACTTGCCTAACCCATAAGCTGGATGTGAACAAACCACAAATCTTTGTGACTGTCCATATAGCTCATTGATTTACTCAGTCTGAGCCTAGTAGCTATATTCTCTCTTTAACACTTAACCTTTTAGCTCTTGTCAATATGCTGTAGACCTAAATGTTATAAGGCACTTTTTTTTTTTGAGTCATGGTTTTACTCTGTTGTCCAGGCTCACCACAGCCTTGACCTCCTCGGCTTGGGTGATCCTTTTCGACCTCTGAGTAGCTGGGGCTATAGGTACACACCACCATGCCTGGCTAACTTTTTAAATTTTATTTTTGTAAAGATGAGATCTTGCTATGTTGCCCAGGCCTGGTCTCAAACTCTTGGACTCAAGCAATCCTCCCACCTCCGTCTCCCAGAGTGCTGGAATTACAGTTGTACTTTAAAAAAAAAAAATCTATTTATGTTGCTCTTATTTGTACACTGCATGCCTGGCCATTTTTGTTAATGCTTTCTCTTTGTGACAATTGAAAGGTTAGAGGTAATAGGTTGCATGCAAGTTCTGTCTTAAAGCCATAGACAATAAACACCTTGATCAGCTGGAATACATTTTTGTGCTGTTTTTTCCTGAAGACTTGGTTAAGAAATCCTCCAAGACCCCTCAACAGCAACCTGGGAAGAAATCAAAGCAGCTGTCTTAGTTGGGGAGCAGTGGGGTTATCATCTTTGTGCATGAGAGGCTATATTAATACAAAATGACTCCTTTTTGACTTTTATATGCAGTAGTATTAGATGATAATATTTAAATGGTGGATATTGGCCCAGTGGTGGGGGTAAATTTCTAGAACCTTGTGACTGTATCTAATCTAAAAGCATGCTAGTCATAGTACTTAATGGCCTAGTCTCACTCTCTAAACAAGGAAAACATGAATCTGTTATATGGCATTGCTAAATCCAGGGAAGTAGTTGTGTTTAAAGTTGTTTTTAATGTTTCGGAATCTTCTAATGGATTTTGGGTATAAAATGTCTCAGATTAAAATACTTAGCCTGTAAAACAGTCACTGTAGAAGAGTAACCCTCCCTCCACCCATCCCACTCCTCCCACTCCAAGAAAAGGAAGGTTGTATTAGGACTTTTTCATCTAATTACGTTATTAGCACACTAAATGGAAGCATGTGGGAATGTGAATGGCTTTTTAATTAGTTTGTAGATTTGCTTTTTTATACTACTTTTAGAGTATAGCCTGTTCAGAGAAACATTAAAATTGTCCTTCCCAAACAAACTTGATGTTATAGCTGCTTAAATAATGGCTATTGTATTCTGAGCATCAGCTGAGCACATAATATTCAGAGCGTGTTTTTAAAATTTTGAGCTTTGATATTTGTCCATGAAGAACCTCCTTCTATCAGAATGGTGGTTGCTGAGGGTGGTGTATGATCACAAGTGTTAAGCTATGTAGTAACTTGTTCATGGACTATATTGCTGTGATTTCTTTCTTTTCTCTTCCCCTTGATTACAGAGAGGTCCAGAAAGCAGTCAACACTGCCCAGGGATTGTTTCAGAGATGGACAGAGCTCCTTCAGGACCCCTCAACAGCAACACGGGAAGAAATTGACTGGACCACCAATGAACTGAGAAACAATCTTCGGAGCATTGAGTGGGACCTAGAGGACCTTGATGAAACGATCAATATCCTTTTCTGTAGCATCAGTGCTATTTGCAGTAAACAGGCAAATGAACACATTTTTATCCAGATGTCTCCATTTTACAGATGAGACATTTTCTTTTATAATCCTTTGGTGTTGCTCTTATTTGTACCATGACATGTTTAAAATTATTGCCCAGTAAGCTAAGGTAGTATAACCAAATTCTTCTAGAGTACATGACGAATCCTGTGCTGTGTGTGTGTGTAGGCAGGATGTGCAGTCGTTATGACTTTGGACCCTGGAGTCAGACTATTGGTACTAAGTTCTGGCTCCACCAGTGTAAAGGGGGACAAAAAAAAAACACCAATCTTTTTTTCTTCTCAACTCCCACACTCAACTCAGTACAACACTTCTGACACCAAACTTTCTCCAGCAGATACCAGCTGAGTATCATACCATTCAGTCAAATTCTGACATCCTCCACCTGGAGACAGCATCAGACTGCACAGGGCACAAGCTCAGTCCCACAGAACTGCCCCCACTTCAGGAGCCATTCACAAGCCCTAGATTGTGCCTTGTGCCTCTGACTGACCAGCTATAAACCAGGGTTCTCACAGAAGGATTAGTATTTAGTTGACGTGTTTTAAGGGAGTTTGGGTCAGATTTTATTGCCTGCCCGTGAGTCTGTGTTTTAAACAGGATGTTAGGCTTTTGATGAAATTGCTTTACCTTGACTTTTTGACCCACGCATAGTTGAAGCAAATCCTAGAAAATTCAACCTCGATGCAACTGAATTGAGTATAAGGAAAGCCTTCATTACAAGTACTCGGCAAGTTGTTAGGGTAAGAAACATGATCTTATTGTGTTAACTGTGTAAGAAACAGCGAAACTTCTTCAGACTCTTTCCCTTAATTGTAAACTAATAGGTCAACCCTGAAATCACTTTTTAATGTGAGTTAGATGCCAGTTTACCACATATAATTTCTCCGATTGAAAAAAAAGAAATCTGTTTTTAGTATTGTTAGGCTCATTCCTTAGAGCAAAAATGAGGCAGTAAACTGCTGGCTTTGGGCAGATTATTTTAATGGTATCATCCTACTTGTCCATACTTCTAGTTTCTTCCAACCAGTTCTCTTTTTTCTTTCTTATTTCTTAGTATACTGTATTTTTTGACAAAAGGAAGAATTATAGAATCCATGTGCCTTCTTGATTGATTGGTAATCACTTTGCATTGTTGAAGAGTGACTCTTACTGGGTTTGGATGGCGGCCTCTTCTACCATCTGAATTGCTTCTGGAACTCTTGCAACCCATGTTACTGACATTTCCATATACAACTGCTTGACAGCCTTTCCGGCGTTATTCAGGGCAAGCATGCCTCTATCAGTGTAAAAAATGATCCAAGTAGATACATCTTTAGTCCTAAATTATTTAGAATAGTATCCATTATTAAAGAATCTAAGAGAAAATATTATTTAAGTAAAATCTGGTGTCATTAAGATATGTTTTGTTTTGAAACTATATAGCTAAACCATTTGATTAGCATAACTAGATGTAAGAGAACCAGCTGTCTTTAACATATGTACTAGAAAGCAGCTTCCTTGAATAAAAAGACTTGGGATCATACCAGTGTTAACATATGGCTTTTTAAGAGTCATCTTAGGCAGAAACCTTGGTATGTGCTTGCCAAAGACTTTATACCATGTGATTTCCTTTTGAGATGATTTCAAATGGTAGATTATCACTGAACTTTATGTACTCTTGTTTCTTGTTTTATTCAGTAGTTGCCTTTCTATATATGTATGTTTATAAATAAATCTATATTTTAATGTGGCAGAAACCTTTCTGGACCTCAGATGCCCCATCTATAATGAGCATTTACATCAGATACTCCTAATTTCTAGCCAGTTCAAAATAATTCTGATAAGGAAATCTTGTTGTTAGGTGACATAGTATTTTGTAAGATAAGTAATTCTCCAATTTTTAAAATAACTTTGGTTTGTTTTTTAAAAAAATAATAGGTTTTTTGAAAGACACTTCTGTAGGTGTTACTATTTAAGTGGTACCTTGCAGTGAAGCATATATTCTTAACCTTAATCATTATATTTGTTCTTTCTGCAAAATAGTACTTGTGAATTTTGCAGATTGGAATTCAGAGGTCAATATATTGAAAATAAAGTTAGCTGGTATAATTGGAAATAGAATCCAAAGTTCATTTTTTAACATCTGAAAAGCTTTTTAAAGTACATTCTTAGAAAGTATTTTAAATCGAATCAGTACTTTAAAATTGATGCTGTCCTTCTAGAGTTGAGACAACTACACTCAACTGTGTGAACCAACTGAATATTTTAGGGTTTTTAGTCATTCTTGTTTTCATTTATGACCACTTTTTGGGAAGCTGTTAGTGTTTGCCAGTGGTGGAGCTAACAGTACCTGACTGAGCTTTTGCTGATCAGATTTTAATAAATTCTAGTGAAAAGTCCTGTAGAAGAGAAGGAAGTAGCAGTGATGTTAAATTGATTAAAAATGTAAACAAAAACTATCTTATGTTGTTTCAGTATTAACTGCATTCAGCTAAGCAGTATTTGTATTTAGAGATTTTCCAGGCAGAAGAGATTGATACAGAAGAACCAAGGAATTAGCAGAATTGGGAAATGAGACAAAACCAATTTCAGATGAGGAATTTGTACATATTTAGGAATTTGTACATGTTTGTAGTAGCTCCTGTTACTATTATCGGTGGGTGTTCATTTAATTTTACTCCAAAATTTTGATCTGCTTTATTTTTGAAAGAGTGTATTCCAGTTATGCTTTCTCCTTCTTTACAAGGGAATCAGTGATACTCTATAATTTTTTTTTTCTTCTACCTGAAGAAGTTTCCTGTGTTTCTTCTTGATTAATGTTCATTGATCATGCCTTTAGTAAGACTCTAAAGTAAAGATTCTAAAGAGTCTTACTTTGTATGTTTTTCTAGCATCTTCGAGTTTGTGCAGCTTTAATTAAGTTTTGATGGCAGTTTTTCCTGAAGAAAACAAAACATTCTAGTTTTTGTGTAAATAGTGTTGATGTTTTGGCGGTGATAATTTTCACATTTGTCAAGTCACCTATACATCAAAGATTTTGCATGTGAACTTTTTGTGCTTTAAAACTGTATTTCAGAAGTGACTTTGGTTTTACTTTAGTAGCAAAAAGTTTTGCAGTATATGACAGAACAACAGTAAATGAGGAGTGAGGAAATCTGAGTTCTAGGCTAAGCTGTGACCTTAGTTAATTTTAGTCATGGTAAGTCTTTCAGCCTCTCTGGATCTCAGTTTTATCATTGAAACAATCCTCACTAACATTCTCTGACTTATTTCAACTTTCAAAACTGAAATCACTGCAAAACCAACCTGTTTCAATGCAAGAATTGCTTATAGTTAATTTTAAGTCAAGATAGGAATGACTTTGGTTAATAAAAAATGGTGGTGTCCAGTGTATGCACAGAGACATTGGGATGTGAGAGCTGTGAGTGGGAAGCACTGGGGTTTTTTGTGTCTCATTCATTCAGCTCAGATGATAGTGAGATGGAAATGGGAGCTTAAATCACCAGGACGTTTGTTGTTCTTTTGGCAGATGAACCATATTTTTTGGGGACGTACTGCTTCTTGACTGCTGGTTCTCAACTTCATGTGTTGGAATGAAGATGAGTAATTATGATTTTGGCATGATAGGTTGTTACAAATTGTTTAAAACTGTTTAGTAGCATAGTTTAAAATTCTAATATGAAGGTGACCTGTTATATGGCATCTGGTGACTTTTAACCAACTACGTGGATAACATGCCATCTTAGAAGGGGAAACCATAGCTCTTTACCTGCAGAGGTAGTTATATACAGGTTCCCCCTGCACAGCTACTGAAGAGTCTACCTCATCAGGACTGACACACACACATGTACATGAGCGCACACACATATGGTTTTTTTACAGAAAACTTTAAAAACTGGAATTTAAAATTATATTTCATTACAACAATAATACTTTAAGGAAAATTAGCAAAAAATTTCAAGAGGGATTAAAAAAAAGAAAAAGAAACCTAAACTGAATACACAAACACAAAACTTGGTTGTATTTTCTCATAGCAGTTGTAGCTTCTTTTTCTTTTTTTTTTTTAAGTCAGAGTCTTATTCTGTCGCCCAGCCTGGAGTGCAGTGGCATGCTCATGGCCACCACTCCCTTGACCTGCTGGGCTCAGGCAGTCCTTCCGCTTCAGCCTTCCAAGTAGTTGGGATGCGGGCATGTGCCACCATGCCTGGCTAATTTTTTGATTTATTGTAGAGACTAGGTCTTTCCAAGTTGCCCAGACTGGTCTCAAACCCCTGGGCTTAGGCAGTCTTCTTGCCTCCACCTCCCAAAGTGCTGGGATTGCAGCAGTGAGCACACAACCAGCCTAGCAATTGTATCTTTTCAGAGTTGTGATTATACTGTTATGCAATTGTAGAATTTTTATTTTTTTTAATTTTTTAAGTTAAAAATCTGGGCCGGGCTCAGTGGCTCATCCTATAATCCCAGCACTTTGGGAAGCCGAGGTGATAGAATTGTCTGATCCCGTGGGTTCGAGACCCACCTGGGCAACTTGGCGAGACCTTGTCTCTACAATAAATAAAAAATTAGCCGGGTGTGGTAGCATGTGCCTGTAGTTCCAGCTACTTGGAGGGCTGAGGCAGAAGGATCACAGGAGCCCAGCAGGTCAAGGCTGCGGTGGCCAGGAGTGTGCCACTGCCCTCCAGTCTGGGTGACGGAGTGAGACTCCAACTCATAAAAAAATAAATAAATAAAAATCTGTACTTGCTGTTTTTTAAATGCAAATAATTTTGATGTATAAGAAAGATAAAAGTGTCTCTCCACTCTGTAATTCCACTCTCTAGAATATTCATTGTCAACAATTTTGTATATTTTTCCCAGATATTTTGTAGACATGGAAAGAACTCTTTAAATGAAGTGGGATGATATTCTGTAATTTCTATGAAAAAGCATATTGGGCCTGTAATCCTAGGCACTTTGGGAGGCCAAGGTAGGAGGATCACTTGAGACCAAGAGTTTAAACCAGCCTGGGCAACAAAGCAACAAAAATTTAAAAACCAGGCATGGCAGCTTATGCCTATTATCCCAGCTACTCGGTAGGCTGAGATGGGAGGATTGTTTGAGCCCAGGAATTCAAGGCTGCAGCGAACTGTGATCTTACCACTAACTGCACTCTAGGTTGGGTGACAGAGTGAGACCTTGTCTCAAATTTTTAAAAGTGTACTGGGGGCATAGTCCTATAATGGTACAGATACACCTAGAAGCAGTACTGTTCAATTGTAATGTGAGCCATTTGTGTCATTTTAAATTTTTTAATAGCAATATTAAAAAAATAAAAAGAAATAGGTGAACTTAATATATTTTAACTCAATATATCAAAAAGGTTATCATTTAAACATGTAATCAGTATAAGAAATATTGAGAGATTAAAAATTTTTAAACTGATTTTGTTATAAGACTTCTTAAACCTGGCATGTATTTCTTCTTATGAACATCCTGAGTCAGATGTGAGATTTTCATTGGAAACACTTGATCTATATTTAGAGTTTACAAAACTTACACTTAAAAAAGTAGAGTCACAGCCCCAATTTTTTCCAAACATACTTACAAGTTTTCTAGTCACTGAATTTAAATTTCAGTTAATTAAAATAAATTCAGTTCCTCAGTTGCACTGACACCTTTTCAGGTACACAGTAGTTGTCATTGGCTTGTGGCTTTCTTTAGACAGGAGCAGATTGAAATTATCCTTTTTAATGGTTACGTAATTTTATTTTTTTGTTTTTTGGGTTTTTTTTTTGAGTTGGAGTCTCACTCTGTCGCCCAGACTGGAGTGCAGTGGCCGCTCCCGGCCACCGCAGCTTCGACCTGCTGGGCTCCGGCGATCCTTCCGCCTCAGCCTTCCAAGTAGCCGGAATTACAGGCATGCGCTACCACGCCCGGCTGATTTTTTGATTTACTGTAGAGATGAGGTCTTGCTGCCCAGGCGGGTCTCAAACCCACGGGCTCAGGCAATCCGCTCACCTCAGCCTCCCAAAGGCGCGGGATTACAGGCTGAGCCACCGAGCCCGGCTGGCAGTAACTATTTTGAGATTCTTGATACAGAATGACAGTTTTCAAAGCGCTGATACACTTTACCATCCATCCGTTTTTTGGAAGAAGTGGTATTTTTTTTTTTTTTTTTTTTTGAGTTGGAGTCTCACTCTGTCACCCAGACTGGAGTGCTGTGGCCGCTCCCGTCTGTGTTCTGCATAGTTTTTAATATATATTAAATAAATAGAATTGTGTGATTGAATATCGGGATGTCATCTTAAACTCTAATTGATAATTTGAAAAGTAATTCTGCAGTTGAGATACTAGCATAATGATTAGTCTCTGAGATTTCTAGAATGTGTTTGTGTAGACCAGAGCTGCTTGAATTTCAGTTGGGGGACTTGTTAAAATGTACCTTTAAGAGTCATCTTAGTAGGTCTGGATGGGGCCTTGAGAACTGCATTTTAAAAATTAACAAAAAAAATTTTTTTATTGATTCATACTGGATGTACATATGTGATATTTAGATATGTATGTATGTACAGTATGTAATGATCAAATCAGAGTACCTGGGATATCTGTCAACTTGGACATTTTTCTTTATGCTGGGAACATTTAAATTATTCTCTTCAGCCGGGCTCAGTGGTTCAACCTGTAATCCTATCACTTTGGGAGACCGAGGCAAGTGGATTGCCTGAGCTCATGGGTTCAAGACCAGCCCAGGCAACTTGGCGAGACGGCATTTCTACAATAAATCAAAAAATTAGCTGGGCATGGTAGCGTGTGCTTGTTGTTCCGGCTACTTGAGAGATTGAGGCAGAAGGGTCACCGAAATCCAGCAGGTTGACACTGGGGTGTCTATGAGTATGCCACTGCACTCCAGTCTGGGTGACAGAGACTCCAACTCAAAAAAACAAATTATTCTCTTCTTACTATTTTGAAATATACAACAGATTATTAGCTATAGTGAACCTATTATCTATGGAGCACTAGGTCTTATTTCTTCTATCTAATGGTGGTTTTTGTGCCCATTAATCAACCTGTCCTCAAGCCCCCTTGCTCATATACCCTTCCTGGCCTCAGGGAACCACCTCTCTATTATCTGTCTTTATGAAATCCACTTGTATAGCCCACACACATTAGTGAGAACATTTGTCTTTCTGTGCCTCACTTACTTAAGATCATGACTTTCAGGGGGAACTGCATCTTTGGCAACAGCTCAGGCAGCCGATGCAGGTCCCAGTTGGTATCATTCACCCCTGTTTGCTCAACCCAGATTAGATATCAGTGAGTGTTGGCTGAAGGAACAGGGGAGCGCTTTGAAAGCTGAAGCAGGTGCTTCTAACTCAGACTTACCACAGGAGGAGTTGTAAAGGCTGTGGCGCTGGCTGATTTACCACTCTTCTATCATGGATTTTGGAAGAAGTTTCTGAAGGTCTCATACCTTCACATTTGCATATATAAAATGATCTATTTGCCAACAGAAAATTACAAAGTATTTTGACAGTCTTTTTTTTTTTTTTTGAGTTGGAATCTCACTCTGTCACCCAGACTGGAGTGCAGTGGTCACTCCCGGCCACTGCAGCCTCGACCTGCTGGGCTCCGGCGATCCTTCCGCCTCAGCCTTCCAAGTAGCTGGAACTACAGGCGCGCGCTACCATGCCTGGCTAATTTTTTGATTTATTGTAGAGATGTGGTCTCGCCAAGTTGCCCAGGCTGGTCTCGAACCCGCGGGCTCAGGCAGTCCACTCACCTCAGCCTCCCAAAGTGCGGGATTACAGGCTGAGCCACTGAGCCTGAGTTTGACAGCCTTTTTTTAAAAAAAATTGTATTACAATTATTTCAAATCATTGTATAGTATACTGGATTGTGATTAAATATGATAAGTGAAATGGCTCATATTTAATAAAGTGTCTTTTCAGATTAAGTAATGGATCTATTCATTTTTCTTTCCATACAAAATTATTTTGATTTCATTCTAGAAATTCACTGTGGTGTTAGAAATAGTCTATAATTTGTGTGACTACAACTCAGAAATAAAATAAGTGGTCAGTTGTACCACTATTTGAAAGTATTGTTTGATGTTTAATGGTAAATATATTTTATGCTAAAATGCATGGTTTTTAATGTAAGTTGTAAAAGATATGTCAACCCTTGAGCACGTGCTTTTGTGTTTGTACACAGGGATGCCATTTACTAGCTATGTGACTTTGAGAGGGTATCATAGTCTTACTGGACCTGGTCTCCTAACCCTTAAAATGGTGACACCAGCTTCACAGGGTGATTGTGAAAACTCAGTGATAATGTGTGTAAGTGTTTAGCACTGTTTCTGGCCTTTGATAGATACCTACTTTCCTTCCTCTTTTCTTCTATTTAAATTTAGTATCCAGGTTGTCTCTTTTTAAGGGAAAGTATTTTTAAATTTTTTATTTTATTTGTTTTTGAGACTGCAAATCAAAGCCAAAGAACGCTGTCTTTCTGCTGAAAAACTTTATCATAAATTATGTTTATTTTGCTAACGTGTGAAATATTAACCATGATTTTGTTTGACCTCAGGATATCTTTCATTTGTTTTCTGGTCTTTTGTCTCATTAGGACATGAAAGATCAGATGTCAACTTCATCTGTGCAGGCATTAGCTGAAAGAAAAAACAGACAGGTGAGAGAACACCAGAATATAAGTATCCATCAGAGAAAACACATGGATAGGTGTTTGGTATTTAAAAAGGCTCACCCTCTATGGATCAAGCAGAAGACCTGTGTGTGCTGGCCCTGAGTGACCTCTGGGGTTTTGTCAAAGTTGGGTAGCTTACCCCACCCGCTAGCTACTCCCCCACCCTGTGCCTTCCCTCTGGGCTCCATGGCACCTTCTGTTCACCTTATTCTAGTACTTGTCACAGAGTACTTATGCTTTATTCACGTGTTCATCATAAACCTGTTGAGTGCATTGTGTGTGCTCTAAGGACTGTAATGACTTGCTGTCTTTCGCCTGGACCCCAGGCTCTCTGAGAGTGAATAGGATTTGTGGCATGGTTTTTTGTTTTTGTTTTTTTAAGTCTCTAGTAATTACTGCATTGCCTACTCATAGAACTCACTAGACATTCAAGGATTGAAATTTGATGTAAAGACATCTGGGGAATCTTAAGCATGTGTGTTAAATTAAATCTCTCTAAGTATTTTTTTTAATACATACCATACTTTGGTATGTGATAGAAACTCCTTTCTAATTGTTAAAATGTAGTCCTTTTATTTTTTTTTTTTTTTTTGAGTTGGAGTCTCACTCTGTCACCCAGACTGGAGTGCAGTGGCTGCTCCCGGCCACTGCAGCCTCGGCCTGCTGGGCTCCGGCGATCCTTCCGCCTCAGCCTTCCGAGTAGCCGGAATTACAGGCATGTGCCACCATGCCCGGCTGATTTTTTGATTTATTGTAGAGATGAGGTCTCGCTGCCCAGGCGGGTCTCGAACCCGCGGGCTCAGGCCATCCACTCACCTCAGCCTCCCAAAGGCGCGGGATTACAGGCTGAGCCACCGAGCCCGGCTATGTAGTCCTTTTAAACAATGTCCAGTGGTCATCTAGAATTTAGATCGAGATTTGATTTACATTCTCTTGGCAGAGCACAATGCTTTTTGTCTATTGCTAAACTGTTAGATGATTTTTTTGGACATAAACAGTTTTTATAAGTTCTTTGGGTATCCATTTTGCTTAGGAGTAAGAAAGACTTCATGAAAAATGATACTGTTTGCTTTAAATGGCTTATCTTAACCTCATAATATTCAGATTCCATAAAGTTACCGAGAGTTTGTTTAGTAGCCTCTTAAATCGAGAAGTCAGCTCACTATACTAAATAGCAATCAGTACTTCATAACATGCATCCTTACTTTATATATGTAGGTGTTTGTTGAGCCACTGAATTTTGAAAACTAGTATTAGAAAAGCTTGGGGGATGGTTATACATCTATCACCTAACTTTGTTTTTCTGTTTTCTTTCTCTGCATTTCATCTCAAGTCATTGTTTTGTTTTTGTTTTCTTCTTCTTACCTATTTCCCTTGCTTTTTTCTTTGAACAGTATAGTTAGGAAAAGCCATTGGCTAGTCCATACATCTGGCTCTAAGTCTTGAGGAAAGCTAGTAAGTGACCTCAAGCTGACTGGTTTTGGAGCTCCCTTTTCATTTGCCCTTGAGCTTAGAGGGGGCTGAAGTACCTGTAGTAGTTTTGACAGTGAGGTCAGTAACACCTGTCCTCCATTATTCTTTATTTGTATGCTCTATTCTCTGGATACTATAGTTGGGCTAATGTAAATAAGTATGTATATGTTGCCTGTCCAAGTATGGTCTGGGATTTTGTTTTAGGCTAATTGTGACATGTTATAGGGCTGTGCATTTTCAAGGAATAGCAGGGCCGGGGTTCTCCAAGTGCTCCAGTGGGCAGTGGACCTCGCTGCTTTAGGCCAGGTACCAGGTGCTATGCTGTCCCTGCCTCACCGGCACCCCTACTGTGGCACCCAGCCACAGGTACATCTTCCAATGCTCAGGCCCTCTCTCCATCTCTTTCCTGTTAAGATAGACTCCTGAGCATCAGATTGATGCTCTCTAAGCTACTTCACAGTAAAATATAGGTCGCTTGTCCCACTAAGTGTAGACCATGGAAAACATAGAAAAAAATAGCCCTGGCTGTGGCCTCAGGAGTACACAAGACCCTGGGGGAGCCCCCTTTCACTGTCCTTAGGCTAATGATGCAATGTAGCCTTTCTGTGACCGTAAAAAAGTGTTACTAGGCTCCAGTGACCTCCATAGAGGTCCTTAGAGTCTTTGGATCAGAGCAAACAGGATTTTTTCAATCTTGACAGTCCTAAGACCACCTACAAAAAGCCTTGTGTCTGCTTTACACCAGAGACAGTCACCGTCCAGCCTCTTGCCTGGATGAAGCCCTGGGCTGCTGGAAGCTCTCATAAGAAAAGCTTCTAGTGACTGAGCTTCTTAGAAGCTTTTCTAATAATCGCCTCAGAACTTAGCACCCCAATCCTGAGCTTCCCCAATCCTAGACCCTGAAGTCTGACCTGAAAGTCCAGTGAGGAAGTCAGTGTTGGTGGGGAAGAAAGGCAGTGAGGAAGTCAGTGTCTGTTGGAAGGGTTTCAGACAGAGAACCAAGTAATCAGGTAGGCTGTTAATAGTGCCAGAGATAAAAAGTACCTGGGAAGAAGATGTGGCAACTCTACAAGGAAAAATAATCTTAACTGCTAGCATCTTCTGGCTCTTGGTGTGGGGCCAGCATCAGCAATTACGTTGACCTGTCAGAAAGGCTCGTGGGGATCCAGTCAGAACCAGCTGCAGAGCCTGAGCTCTCACATTCCTGCCTGGCCTCATCATGTGAGGAAGACATACCAAACTTTCCCATGCTTGGCTGCAAACTATGTCAAATTCATACTGGAGAAACATGACCCTAGTGTCTGGGAGCCCAGCTGGAGAACTCTGACATAAGGACAGCACTTGTCTGGGTCGTCAGTGTTGGGTACTTCTTGTGGTCATACCTGCCTGCAAAGTAACCCTGCTACCATCTGGAAAGCCTGTCGTCTCTTAGTTCAACGGAAAGACATTGGGTTTTATTTGTGGGTTAAACTTAGTAGACATTGATAGTCCTTGTGCCTTCTGTGTATGAAGGGCTGTGACTTACCTTCTAGTCTTTATAGGGAACTCTTCCCCTTCTCCCCAGAAAAACCCCCCAAAACTTCCTGGGTCATACTTTTTTAAAAAAGGATTCTAGATTTCTACATTTGGTGTGACTAGAACCTCTGGGTCTCTGATGACCGTCCACAGCTGCTAGGAAGAGCTCCTGTACAAGAGACTGAGTGCTTTTACGTTATAATGCAGTATACGGGGCTATGGGTGGTTTAGCATAGACATTTTATTGACATTTTAAGGGAGCAAAGTCCATTCATGAGGCCCATTGGAAGAGTGTAAAGACAGAGACCTTTCTGGTATTCCCGAGATTGTACCACACAGGCACCAGCTTATACCATGGCATAACGGCCTGTCCCAGGAGGAAATAGATGATGAGAAATGTGAGAACTCTTTATATCAATCACTCTTGCTGTTTCACTCATTCAGAGATGATAAGTGTTGGCTCTTCTGATCCTGGCTATCCCCACTCACACAGGCACTGCTCGGAGACAGTGGTAGCCAGAACTGGAGCACCAGAGCAGTGGAAAAATACGGGCACCTTGACCGAGAGCTCCAGCTAGCCAACTCCCACTTCATTGAGGAGCAGCAAGCACAGCAGCAGGTACCCCGAGACTCCTGCTAGGGATGGGAGGGGAGGGGGCAGGGTGGCTCCCTTAGTTCCTCTGCCAGCCTCGGAGTTTTGTTGCTTAAGAGCAAGCAGGTTAAACCAGAGCTGCCAGAGCTGGTCTCGTGGTTGGCCATATCTAAACATGTAATGATTCATATATAAAGGCCTGCAGAACCTTAGGCGCACTACTGCTTCAAGAGAGCTGAGCTCCATTAGGTCTCTCAGGAGAAGCAGGCCAGACTTCCTGAAGTGACAGACAAGTCCCTTGGTTTTTAAAACAGAAAACAAAGCCTCTTCCCCAGCTTCCATTTGTATACCCAGTTTTTTGCTCTGACAAAGGAACTTTGAGAAATATTCTCTTGTTCTTTCATTGAAAGTTATTGGTTGTTTTCATTATATATAAAAATGACTGGCATGGCACAGTGGCTCACACCTACAATCCCAACACTTTGGGAGGCTGAGGCAGGAGAATCGCTTAAGGCCAGGAGTTCACTATCAGCCTGGGCAACATAACAAGACCTCACCTCTACAAAAAAATTAAAATAAAAAAATAAATGACTGCTTTGGTGACAGTCACGGATAGAAGGAAAGTGAAGGTGATTATGTGTGTGATGTTGCTTTGGATGTGGAACTGTATTGATAAAAGGAAACTAATGATCATGTTATATGGGGATTTGAGACTCATCTACCCATTGATACTGTTGGTACTTACATATTGGGTTTTATGTATATATGGAAGTTATCTGCTTTTTTGTTCTTTTTCCATTAGCATATCTGCTTAACCAGTTGTCTACTTAAATTGCTATTAATCTAAGCAATTTTTTTTTCTAGACAAAGGGAGATAAATACTAGTCAGTCGTTGTCCTTGAAGCAGCTTACTTCCACAGAGTCTCCTCTAGGTTGTCCTTGAGAGAGGAACGACTCTGTGCATAATTTTCTCACATCCAGAGATTTGCCAGACTCTCTTGTATTTAAGCTGTGGCAGTCTGTTGTGGATTGAGACCTTGATCTTGGCCACGGGCTTCCCCCTCCCAAACATCCCCATGTCTCAGCGGTCATCTGCACGTGTGCTTTCGGCCATTGTCTGTTCCTTTGTTGGACTTCAGCCAACCGGAGTAAATCTCTCTTGGTGGTTTCAAGCCCCGCTGACTGTTCACAAGTTGGATCAGCAGGAGATATCAGTAGCTTGACAATCCAGCCTTTTGAGCAGTGTGTTCTCAGAGGCAACGGTCTGGTCCTTTGATTTCTGGGCTTTGCTTCTGAATGTGAATTGTCCCAAGCTGGCAAAGAAACTAGCAGCTGCTAGAGTGCTGGGCTTGGAACCAGGTAAGATGGATTTTAATTGCTTATTTCCCGTTTCTCTGGCACCAGTTGATCGTGGAACAGCAGGATGAGCAGTTGGAGCTGGTCTCTGGCAGCATCGGGGTGCTGAAGAACATGTCCCAGCGCATCGGAGGGGAGCTGGAGGAGCAGGCCGTGTGAGTGTTGAATGCCCCCTTGCTACAGTGAAACTGAGGAAAGCCATCCTCTGAGACCCTGGAAGACCAAAAGCGACTTCATTTGTAGCTGCATTTTTATTTTGTTTACAGAGTAGCCTCCCCTAAAGAAGCAAATCTTTTCAGTAACAGTTACAACAGGGTTTAGGCAAAGTTAGTATTATTTTTAAACACCTCCAAAAGCAGATACACATTTCTCTGAGCAGATACTTGAAGAATAGTTATGAATGAGAATGTGAAACAGAGATGGTGCCCTAACAAATGTAGATTTGTTCTGAAGAGGATAGGACGTGAACTAACTTCACTTTACCATCCCTGGGTGTCCCAGGATATTAACCAAAACTTTTTGCTTTGCATCTTAAATTGTAACTTTGTTAAAATATATATATATTTTTCAACTCCTATTAACAAAAAAACTTCCCTCTCAAAAAAATAAAAACAAGAAAACATAGCATGGTTTTTGTTTTTTTTTCCCTTAAGAACAGTCTCTTTTGCACTCTGAAGTATGGTAGCAAACGCAGCATTCTTAAGCACTGCCACACAAAACCATAATTACCATTTTACAAACCTTTTTTCTAAAGAAAAAGAATAAGACATTCTACAAGAATATTTCAGAAACATTCCTGTCTTGATCTTACGTTTATCATTACACATTCATTCGTCATGAATTCTTACAGGGCACGTGTTCTGCACCAGCCCCTCTGGGAGGCCCTGGGGATATAGTAGTGAGCAGAATAGACACTGTCTCTGCCATTCAGAGAGTTTGCTACTTACTGGGTAGTACGGACATTATGCAAGTGGCAGGTCACTAAGTGATGGCAATGAAGTGGTGGTGCCAGTGTGTGTTGTCTGGAGAGCGCTGTTAAAGGGGCTTCACTGAAGCCTGAAGGATGTGTAGACATTAGCTGGGGAGGTGGTGAGGGGAATGTGGACCAGGAGGGTGAGGCATATCTGTGCAGACTTAGAGGTCTCAAGTGCATGGAGCAGAGAGCTTCCATGTGTCTCGAGGCAGACAGCAATCCAGGGAAGGTATCGTCAGCATGGTCAGGAGGTAGGGCCTTCTAAGTATGATGGGAGACCAGTGACGGTGACGTGTTAGGAGTGGTGGCATGGCCCATCTGGCTGTGATTTAGGTGACATGCTATGTCCAGCCAGGCAGGGAGACCAGGTGGGAAGCTGGAGTAGCAGGAATATATTTAATTTATATCCAAAATGGGTTCTGACCCCAAAGTTCCAGCTTGGGGGTAGGAGGGGACTAGGGGCTGGAACTGCTCTGTTGGTGAGGCAGCCTGATGGGTGCTGGATAACAGAAAAGAACCCAAGAGACTTTAGCTAAAGAGAGCAAATTGAACACACCCCTATCTCTGCTCCCTTTCTGAAGCCCACTAGAAAAGGGTTTTTTGTTTTTGTCTTTTTTTTTTACTGCGTAAAACTTATGGGACATAGAGCATGAAATAAGAAATGGCCATAACATTTCAGATCCTGGACAGTAGATAGATAGCTGGGTTATAGACTCAACTGACTAGAGAAAGCTGAGTCCTCTGCTGTAGGTGAGGAGTACCAAGAAGCAATGTGACAAACCCCTCCACTGTGAATAGCATTTATTCGGTCATGGTAATGTAAACACTGAATATCGAGCTAATGACTTTATGAACAATTCTGTCAGAAGGAAGGGAGAAGGAAAGTGCGGAACAAAACAGCAAGAGAGCTGCATCTCACTCTGGCCATGCTGAGACATAGGTAAGCTCTCAGCTGAAAGGCAGGGTCCTGAGGTACAAGTGTGTTGCTTCCAAAGAGGAGAAAGCACCGAGAAGAGTATGAGGAGCTGAGAGTGCTTATCCATCGAGGGAACAGGCAGCAACTGCAGTTTTTCCTAAAAAGCCTTGTAGAACAACTTGTTTTTGGGAATGTATTTAACTCTGATAAAAAGTGAATTAAAAGGAAAAATTATGGATCTTGGACTTAGACCTGTGCTATTTAGTGTAACAGGCAATTGAGTAAGTGAAATGTGGCCAGTCCATATGAAGATGTGCTCCATGTGTCAAATTCACTTTGGATTTTGGAGACTTAGTATGACAAAATGTAAAATAGCTTATTAATAATTTAATATATTAATTACATGTTGAAATGATAATGTTTTGAACATATTTGGCTATATAAAATAGATTATTAAAATGAATTTCACCTGTTTCTTTGAATTTTGTCTAATGAGGCTACTGAAATTTTTAAACAGCCTGTGTGACTCATGTTCTTTTCCTGTCAGCACTGAGTTGGATAGGTTTGGGCTAGAAACTTAGTGGGTGTCCTTGGGCTGAAGGTTGAATGGCGTGCCTGCTTTGTCTTTAGTAAGAAAGCCATACCCAGCACACAAAGGTAGCTCTTGTTTTCCTGTGTTTGGCCCTGCTGGGGTAGACCTGCCAGCTGCAGAGCCAAGATGCTGCCAGGATCTAAGATGAGCTTGAAATGTTTTAATTTGAAAATCTAGGTAAGGAACAAAGACTTGTTTATTTAATTGTCAGCATGGAGTTTAATAGTTGACTTAATGAAAAGTTGATTGCCCTGAGTCCAGTAGGGCTGCCAGGTGTCCAGTGTGGACACAGACCTAGACCAGGAGTTTCTAGCTGCCATTGATGCTTCAGAGTTGATAAATTCTTTTTAGTAAGACCCCCTGGTACTAATTGATAGGCTACATTCTGGCCTCAGAATAATCATATACTGCAAAGTTGAAGAGTCTGAAATGTTTCGTGATTTACGAAATAGATACTGCTGAAATTAGAGTATATGGCTGTTTTCTTTCCCAGCTGCATATTGGACAGCAAATAGTATAAGCCCACTGGAGTCAGTGCTCCTAGTAGAAAGTGCTGGCTTCTCTGAGAGTGTGTATGAGGAGGAGCACCCCCCAACCACCATCAGGAATGTCAGTCCTGAAGCTGTCTGGATTTATGATAAAGCACACAGTGTTCTAAAGGAGAAGATTATTTGCTTAAAGTATATTCCTTAACTCTTACTGCTATGAAGTGCTTTTGTGTATTACACAGCTCTCACAAGAGCCCTGTGAGGGAGGTTGGACTGATAAGATTGCCCCATTTTAAAGGTGAGGAAATAGTCCCTAAGGGTTGTAGGGCACCTAGTCCAATGTAGCAAGGTCAGCAAGAGGCAGAGCCTACTTGTTTGATTTCAGATAGCCTTCTTTCTACCACATTGCACTGCCACTGAATTTGTGTTCGCATATAGTCATGTCCACATGGCTTTGTCGGTTCTGAAATCTAGAAAGCGCTAAGAATCAAAAGGTTTTTTGTTTTAATTTGTACAAGGTCATGTTACAGAAAAACCTCACCCAAATGTGTACTGCAACTGTGATTCCTCATAGTTCTTTCTGCAGAAGCAATGTGTTTGATTATGGGGACTGTCCCAGGCCCTGCTGGGGTGTTGACTAATACACAGCACATGTAACTTCTGCTGTTTTAAATTATTAGAATTCCAAAATCATAATCATATTTTGTCCTAAGGAGATTGGATAATAGATTGGGATCCTGAATTCCTGTGTTGCCTATTTTGCGTTTGCTAAAATGGAGGCCTGGGTCCTGTTAGCTCTGTGACTGGAGCATTGTCGAGACTTAGTGCTCACCAGCACCTTCTGTGTCTGCTTCTCTCTTAGGATGCTGGATGATTTTTCTCATGAGCTGGAGAGCACCCAGTCTCGGCTGGACAATGTGATGAAGAAACTTGCAAAGGTGTCTCACATGACCAGTGGTATGTATGGTGTTTAAAGCTTAAGAATTTTACTGGATTCTAGAAACTGCCCAAGGGGGGTGGGGAGTCCTCTAGGTGCCCATTCAGGTGCCCTTCCTGTGGCATGGTTTTGTGTGATGCTTTCAGATCAGAGATGGAAGACTCATATGGGAAGGCCTTTGCTCCCATGTGCAGCCTTAACTTGGGGAAGGGTCTTTGTGCTCCCCCACTGAGTTTGCTGGGTATTCTCCTTGGGTAGCATCTGTCTTTGCAATTAGAAATTTGTTTTATTTTATTGTTTTTGTCTCCTTGCCAATATAAGATCTTATTTAAAACAGTATTGAGAAGTCAGTTGCTGTTTCTCCTGAACATTCTTTCATTGGTAGAAAAGACCACAGTAAGATGGCCTTATAGATCTATTTTAAATTTGTATACTTAAATGCATAGGGAAGTATTCCAGCAAATTTGCACCAGGCTGGGGATGAAGAAATAACAGTTTTCAAATCAGTTACTGTAGAGAATATGTTCTAATGATTCTACAGTTTTTTGATTTCTGCAACCCACCTCCCCTGTTATATGGGAAATAATATATTTTAAATCAAAGAAAATGTGGTTTCTCTTCTTTATTCACTGGGGGTTGCTTGGCAGAAGGAGAAACTGAGATACCCCTTGAGGTAATTTGAGTGTTCTTGGACCACAGAGCTCCCATTCCTTTAGAGCGCCTCCTGTTTTTTGTCACCTCGTTCTTCTTAAAGGTTTCCTACTGTCGTGTTATAGTGTCTAATAGGTTAGCCTTAAGATTTAAAGGCAACCGGGCTCGGTGGCTCAGCCTGTAATCCCACGCCTTTGGGAGGCTGAGGTGAGTAGATTGCCTGAGCCCGCGGGTTCGAGACCCGCCTGGGCAGCGAGACCTCATCTCTACAATAAATCAAAAAATCAACTGGACATGGTAGCGCATGCCTGTAATTCCGGCTACTCGGAAGGCTGAGGCGGAAGGATCGCCGGAGCCCAGCAGGTCGAGGCTGTGGTGGCCGGGAGTGGCCACTGCACTCCAGTCTGGGCGACAGAGTGAGACTCCAACTCAAAAAAAAAGATTTAAAGGCATGCATGACTTTTTCAGAGGTTTAACTCACAGTTAAGTTTCACAGCAGATTTCTAGGGCTCAGTTTCTTATCCATAAAAATAGGTCAATTCTTACCTCTTCAGATCATTGTGAGGATTAAATGGACCAACAATAATGTAGCCCGGGTACGGTGACTTGGGCCTGTAATTCCAGCACTTTGGGAGGCAGAGGTGAGAAGATTTCCTGAGTCCAGGAGTTTGAGACCAGCCTGGGCAACTTGATGTGACATCGTCTCTACAATAAATAAAAAAATTGACTGGGCATGGTGGAACATGCCTGTTCCACCTCCTTGGAAGGCTGAGGTGGAAGGATTGCCTGAGCCCAGCAGGTCGAGGCTGCAGTAGCCTCAGTTATGCCACTCCACTCCAGCCTGGGTGACAGAGTGAGACTCCTATTCAAAACCAAACCAAGCCAAAACAAAACAAAACAAAAAACCCCAACAATAATGTAGAAGGGCTTAACAGTGTCTACCATGTATTAGTACCTAGTAAATGTTTTTAAAAGGTAGTAGGCAACAAACAGATGGCCCTAAGGGGCGAAGGACCCATTACAGACAAAACAAAAGAAAACTCATGGCTGGAGTTATTTCCTTCTTTGTCTCCAGGGGCAAATATCTTTATCCTTCTAACAGGGTCTTTATTGCCTGACACTATGCATGTGGGGAAGCAGGCACCTTCTTATTTCCTCTGTCATATGCTTAGAGAAAGGTTTGCAGAGTCTTCTTTCTTCCACCCCCTCCCTTCTACTGTAAGCAAAAAGTTTTAATGAAGTATTATATAACCAGTTAACAACAGGCCTCTCACTCCTGTATGTATTAGTTGTAAAGTCAAGTAGCTACTTCAGCAGCAGTTTTGTGTGAGGAAGAGCAAAAGAACAAAGATGCACTGTGTCTTTGTTTCCCAGCATTCTGGGTATGAATAATTTAGACAAGTACTTGCATTGTGATAAGCAGCTCATTGTGTATAAATAGCACGGAGGCTTGCTTATGCTTTATTCTACTTTCTCCCAGAAGAAAAGTTTGGGAAGCAAAGTAAGAACTTTGGTTATATTTGTATAAGAAAAAGAGCCAGGAAACAGAGCATTTAGCCTGAAAGGTGCTTCATTTTTGACAGGTTGCCTGTGTTTTCATTTTAATCTTTGCTTGCTACCAAAAGGAACACTCCTCAAGGGCCGCCTCCTGCTTGGTGGTGCCTGCTTCAATTTTACGAGCAGGCAGTTTGTGTTTGTCTCTGTTCTCCTCCATAATTTTTGCATAAGCTCACTGCTTCTTAGTCAAACCTGTACCTATAGGAGGTGTATCCAGGCACACGGAACTCTTATTAAGTAGTAATGAACACACAGGCTCCACAGTTCTTGAGAGGCAGAACATCTCTTCCTGTGACTGGCTTCTTCGTGGGGAGAAACCAGCCAAGACCCAAGAGAGACACTAATTTCTTTATTTCATTACCCAGAGAAGGATTTTCTTTTCAGTAGATATTGAGATCCCCATCTCTCTCACATTCCAACATTCTATTGTTCATCTTTTCTCTTTAGGAGAGGAAACTATTTTAAGAGAGCGAGAGAAGATGATGATTGGAGTTTCTTTGTTCCCCTCTGACTTTCTGAGGCAGATCCTGAGCTTTGAAAGCTGCTTAACACTTTCCACTTGAGGTCACAGAAGCCCCTATGCCTGTTCCATCTATGCATGAAGCCTCTGCAGGCTTGCGGAAGAGAGTCTGCCAGGGTGGCAGCTCCCTGGGTTACCTAGCTCATGCTTCCTAGAGGCAGCTTAACACTTGGAAAGAAAATGTGATGTAGGTTTTCCTTGGTGAAAACCCCTGTTTAATGCAGCTGCAGAAGAGAAAGTGATTAGAGGGTGGTAAGGAGCTTGGATAGAAGCTGATGGAAAGCCAAAATGTAGAATCCTGGTTGGAAATGTGGCACTGAGAGTGGCGGGATGCCTGGGGAGAGGGGTAAACACAGGAGTGTGTGTAAAGTTGAGGGAAGGGGTCGGGAAGGAAGCAAGGACCTCTGAGTCCATCCTGGAAGAATATCAGATGATCATTCTAAGGCGCATGGTTTTAAATTATTGTAAGCATTTTTTTTTTTTTTTGAGTTGGAGTCTCACTCTATTGCCCAGACTGGAGTGCAGTGGCTGCTTCCGGCCACCGCAGCCTCGACCTGCTGGGCTCCGGCGATCCTTCCGCCTCAGCCTTCCAAGTAACTGGAACTACAGGCATGCACTACCATGCCCGCCTAATTTTTTGATTTATTGTAGAGATGAGGTCTCGCCAAGCTGCCCAGGCGGGTCTCAAACCCACGGGCTCAGGCAATCCACTCACCTCAGCCTCCCAAAGGCGCGAGATTACAGGCTGAGCCACTGAGCCCGGCTTATAAGCATTTTTTTGTCTGTTTGAATCAGGGTCTCACTTGGTCACCCAGGCTGGAGATATACAGTGGCATGATCACAGCTCACCGCAGCCTCAACCTCCTGGGTTCAGGCTATCCTTCTCCCTCAGCATCCCAAGTAGCTAAGACTACAGGCATACACCACCACCATGGTTGGCTAATTTTTTTAGTTTTTGTAAGATGAGATCTCACTGTGTTGCCTAGGCTGGTCTCGAACTCTTGGACTCAAATAGTCCTTGACCTCCTGAAGTACTGGGATTACAGGCATGAGCCACTACACCTGGCCCTTTAAAAAAATAATTAATTAATAAGCTTTTTAGAGCTGCTTTAGGTTCACAGCAAAATTGATTGGAAATACGAAGAGTTCCTATATACCCACTCTCCCTGCCCCTACACACAGAACCTCCATGGCCATCCCACATCACAGTGGTGCATTTGTTACAATCAGTGAACTACACTGACATCATTAATCATCCCCAAAGTCCATAATTTACATTAGGGTTCTTCTCTCTTGGTGTTGTCCATTCTAGGGGTTTGGACAAATGTGTAATGACACGTGTCCACCACTATAACGTCATACAGAGTAGGTTCACTGCCCTAAAATCCTCTATGCTCAGCCCATTCATCCCTGCCTCCCTGCTATCCCCTGGTAACCACTGATCCTTTAACTGTCCCCACAGTCTTGCCTTCCCATCTTGCATATAGTTGGAATCATATAGTATAGAGCCTTTTAAAATTGGTTTCTCTGAGTCATAGGCATCTCAGTTTCCTCCATGCCTTTTCATGACTTCATAGCTTATTTCTCTTTTAGCACTGAATTGTATTCCATTGTCTGGATGGACCCCAGTTTATTTATCCATATTTCATCTACTAAAGGACTTCTTGGTTGCTTCCAAGTTTTGGCAGTTATAAATAAAGCCACTGTAAATATCCATGTGCAGGTTTTTATATGGACATAAGTTTTTAGCTCATGTGGGTAAATAAGGTATGCAATTGGTGATTGTTATGGTAAGAGTATGTTTAGTATTGTAAGAAGCTGCCAAACTGTCTTCCAAAGTGACTACCATTTTGCTTTCCTACCAGGAGTGTTCCACATCCTTGCCAGCATTTGGTGTGTTGTCATTATTTGGGGTTTTGGCCGTTGTAATAGGTGTGTAGTGTATCTTGTTTTAATTTGCATTCCCTAATGCCATCTAATGTCGTGAGCATCTTTTCATATTCGTACTTGCCATCTCTTTTCTGGTGAGGTATCTGTTCATGTCTTTTGCCCATTTGAAAAATTGAGTTGTTAATTTTCTTGTTGGTGAGATTTCACAGTTCCTTGTATATTCTAGATAGGTCCTTTATCAGATGTATCATTTGCAGATATTTTATCTCAGTCTGTAGCTTATCTTCTCATTCTCTTGACAGTGTCTTTTGCAGGGCAGAAGTTTTTAATTTTAATGATGTCCTAATTTCGGCTATTTCTTTCATGGAGAGCTTGTTTTATTTAAAAAGTCATTGCCATACCCCAATATCATCTAGGTTTTCTCCTATATTATCTTCCAGGATTTTTATAGTTTTGTATGTTACATTTATGTCTGTGACACATTTTGAGTTAGGTTTTATGAGAGGTAAAAAGTCTGTGTCTAGATTAATTTTCTGCATGTGAATGTCTGGTTGTTCCGGCATCACTTGTTGACAAAGCTGGCTTTGCTTTGTTGTACTGCTTTTGCTCCTGTCTTGATGTGGGCCTGTTTCTAGGCTCTCTCTATCTGTTCCATTGATCTATTTGTCTAGTCCACTAATACCACACTGTTTTGATTAATGTTGTGGTAAGTCTTGTATTTGTGCCACATTTCTTGGATATTCTGGGATTTTTTTTCTTTGCTTTCCAGTTTTGACTATTTTAATTGACAAATTGTCAAGCTCAGAGATTCTTTCCCGTTAGCTATGTCCAGTCTGCTAATGCCCATCCATGGCATTCTTCATTCATGTTACAGTGTTTTTGACCTCTAGTTTTTTTGTTTTTTCATTCTTTCCTGAAATTTACATCTCTCTGCTTATATTATCCACGTGTTCTTGCATGTTGTCTGCTTTTTTCATTAAAGCCTGTAGGATATCAGTCATAGTTTATCAAAATTCCTCATCTAGGATGTGCACAGTGGTTCATGCCTGTAATCCCAGCACTTTGGGAGGCTGAGGCAGACAGATTGCTTGAGCCTAGGTGTTCAAGACCAGCATGGGCAACATACCAAAACCTCATCTCTACAAAAGATTTTTTTAAAAGTTAGCCATGTGTGGAGACGTGTGCCTATAATCCCAGCTACTGAGATGCTGAGGTGGAAGGCTCACCTGAGCCCAGGAGGTCGAGGCTGCCATGAGCTATGATCATCGTAAGTGTGCCACTGCACTCCATCCTGGGCAGCAGAGTGAGCCCCGACTCGGAAAAAAAATTCTTCATTTGATAATTTCAACATTCTTGTCATATCTGACTTGAGTTCTGATGTTTGTTCAGTCTCTTCAAACTGTTGTTTTTTGGTCTTTCAGTAATTCTTATAATTCTTTGTTGAAAGGTGGATGTGATATATGTGTAAAGTGATGCAGTAAAGAGGCCTTAGTAATATCAGGTGTGGGACAGATGTGGTAAGGGAAGTGTTTGTAGATCTGCACGCAGGTCTCCACCTTTTGGTGAGCCTGTGCCCTTAGACTGTGAACGTCACCAGTACTTCTCAGTTTTTCTACCACTATGTGGAACAGGATAGCTAGAGAGGGCTGGAGTTGAGTATTTCCTTTCCCCAGGTCAGCTAAGCTCTGATAAAACCCCAGCAGGTTGGGCTCTTTCCTGAGGGTGGGGACCTAGCTGCAACCTGCTCTGAAGTGTTTCAAATGGTTCTTTGTTCCCTCTGTCTGCTGGAAGAACCTAGTTCAGCTCCTGAAGCTAACACTTACAAAAGTGTGAAGACTTCTTTTGAATGAGTCCCCTGGAGTTTTTTAAGCTCAGACTCATTCACACTGAGACTTCCGCAAGCTCATCACAACAGTTCAGGTTTCCCTGCCGGCACTAGTTCCTGTGGCGCTTGCTGCTCATGGGTTTCTGATCCGGGTAGCTGTATGCGCCTGCAGGTTTCTCCAACTTTAGGGGCAGCAGTTTGCCCCAGGACTTCCTTTTTCTGGTGGATCTAAATGCTTTATCAGTTTGTTCAGTGTTTTACTCTAGTTATTAGGACAGAGTGGTGACTTCTAAGCCCCTTCCATGCTGGATCAGAAATTGGAAGCCCAACATTTTTAAATAGATGAAAGAATGCTGTATTTTCACATTTTCTTGACAGTTAAAATCAAGTTGAATAGGCTAAACGTATTATCTCCAGTAGGCCCGCTCTGCCACCCCAAGCCCTTTGGAACATTCCTGTTCAGAAAACGAACGGATAGACTTGGGGCCTTTGTTCTAATCAGGAGCTACTAAATACATTTCTGGCATGTCTGAGGGAGACCAAGATGATCACCATCTAGAAGGTACTTGCTTTACATACATAATTTGGTGACATTTGTGTCCCTTTGCTATCCATAATATTTAAAATAATGTTAAGTACATGTTTTACTTTGTGGTGAGTTTTGCAACCCATTTTCCTTGATTCAGATCTTTTTGCAGAGTGATTCTCAATAGCTATGGTGTGCTGAAACTGGGGTTTCAGAGAAACTTTAATGAATCAACTTATTTTGATTCGTGTCTCACTATGCCACCCAGACTGGTGTGCGGTGGCCTGATCATGGCTCATGGAAACCTCCAACTCCAGGGCTCAAGCGAGCCTCTTGCCTTAGCCTCCCAAAGTACTTAGGCCTGACCTGTATTTCTGTTTAAATGGAACTCTTATTCCTAGCAGTTGAACTGCATTTTAGTAGGCTCATGATCTTTTTATCAGTTTGACTCTTTGTGGAACACCAGGATTCATCTATAGAAAGACTACTTGTTCTTTCTAGATCTCTCCAAATTAAGGAAGCATGCTGATGTTGTAGTGTCATCTGTGCCCCAAGTTTGGGCACTGGATGGTGTGTGCATGATGACGTTTGTGTTATCTGAGTCTCACCACAGCCCTGCCAGGCAGCTGTGTAGAGTTAGGGGCCACAGTTATGTTGTGGCTGGATCAGGACTCTCGGGGGCCTGTCTGGGCCCTTCTGTCTCACAGGGCTTCCCTGCTGTCAGCCATGTGGATGAATTGGCCCCTTGTCTCCTGTAACTGCTGTTCGAAACTATTGGTAGTGCAGAAAGTTTCAGAAAAATATTCTTAATTTACAGATGAGCCGGGCTCGGTGGCTCAGCCTGTAATCCCGCGCCTTTGGGAGGCTGAGGTGAGTGGATTGTCTGAGCCCGCGGGTTCGAGACCCGCCTGGGCAGCGAGACCTCATCTCTACAATTAAAAAAAAAAAAAAAATCAGCCGGGCGTGGTAGCGCATGCCTGTAATTCCGGCTACTCGGAAGGCTGAGGCGGAAGGATCACTGGAGACCAGCAGGTTGAGGCTGCGGTGGCCGGGAGCGGCCACTGCACTCCAGTCTGGGCGACAAAGTAAGACTCCAACTCAAAAAAAAAAAAAGAAACATTGAAATGAAATTTACATATGAGCTATATGAATCACTTTAGCACATTGTTATGGGTTAAGTCTTAGTTCTTATTTGCCTGGGTATGGTGTGAAATTTCATGCTCTCTTCCCAGAGCTTGCTTTTAGCTGTTTACTGCCTGAAGTGATCAGCAGTAGCTTTCATCTCCTCTCCATCCTCCCATTGTGCTTACAGAGAAAAGATCATGATTATTGTTGAATTAAATGACTTGACTGTGGTGGAAGATTAAAGCAGATAGGCTTTGATCTGTGACACCCATGCCCATACCCTTTTCAGAGATGTGCTAACCACCTGCAGAAAGCTAAGATGCTCAGGTTTTAGTTAAAAACTTGATACACCAAGTGCGTGATTATTCCAAGCAGCATTTAAGGGGGCTAGAGAGATTGTAATGCTTGTGAAGCGCAGGCCAGGAGCAAGGCAGTATGAGAGCACCAGGTGCCCAGGCTGGCTCAGGGGTCTCTGCCACCATCATGTCACATTCTGGCCCCTTCCTGCTCCCAAGGCGTTGCCCTGAGTTGGGAGTAGCGGTTTCTTGGGGGGGTGTGAAGTCCATGAGCGCTAACCCTCATGTCCTGCCTTCCAGATCGGCGCCAGTGGTGTGCTATAGCTATCCTCTTTGCAGTCCTGTTGGTCGTGCTGATCCTCTTCTTAGTGCTGTGATGCGAGGCCAGGGACTACAGGTTCCTCCCACGCATAAACGAACGGAGGGGAGGAGAAGCGAGCACATTGGCATGGCCGTTGCATTCCTCTCCTGGCAACATACTGCTGCACCGATTGTTCTCTGTGACTGCAATTGACACAGCTCCCCGCGCTGGAGGAGCCAGTGGGAAGGAGAGAGATGACTGCACTCCTGGTACCAGTGGACAAAAGAATCCCCATGCTTCCTGTCCTGTTCTGAGGATACCCAGCCACTGCTTTGCCTCCCTGAACCCTGATCGCTGAGGAGGGACTTTGAGTAATCCAGAAAAATGAGCAGATTCTACTGGTGTTTTGCCGTTGCTCATTCCACGCGTCTTTGACAGCCCTTTTTTCTGCTCAGCCCTCCCCCTCTGCAGAGGGTGTGCTGCTGTCCATCAAAGGAAACCTGTCGCGAGTGCGAGCTTCTGGGTATGTTTCCTTCCCATCATTGTACCATTTCTTGGCCCCTGAGTACTGATTATTATTGACAACAGAAGCTCAGAAACAGTTGTGACAGAAAATGCAGTGTTTCATTTTTCAGGGATAAATGCTGAGATACAGTTGCTTTTCCAGGTGCATTTTTTGTGGTAGAAATAACTAACGGAAAATAATGAAACACCCTGGAGTTTGGGGGTGCTAACAACTTGTGGCTTTAACTGATGGGAGCAATTAAAAAGAGCAATGGGACCCTGTGTTGGCACAGCTTGGGGAAGGGTTGATGATGTCACCAGAGGCCATGTCATCTGACCTCTGATCGAGCCTTGCCAGCTTCGTGTTACTGCACGGGACCTCTTCCCCTGAGGTGCAGCTTGTGTTTTACAGTGACTCCTACATATGTTGTTGCTAAACAGCTCAGCAGCACACCTGAATGAATCAGGATACTGGATGGTTCTCATGGACAGGTATTTTATTCCCGTGGCACTCTATATGAGGGCTGAGGATACATGGATTATATTTACTCAGACACTGTAACAACAAAAAAAGACTAGCTCTGGGCCAAACTCCTCATACCCTAGGAGTAATGATGAGGATGTGTAGGTGAACTTGGTTTTTTTTTTCCTAAGATGACATCCAGTCATCTTGATTTCAACATCCAGTCAAATAACTGAGCCAATCCAAATTTACATGATAGATGCTTTAATTGAGTTTAAGAAGCTGAAACTGCTGAGACACTAAACTTCAAGCTTCTGATGACTTTTAAAATGTCTCTAATATGCACATGTATATAGGATATTTTTATAACTTCCCTGATGAATAATCTGATATTCAAGTAGCATTTGGACCCAGAGCCAGAACTTGTTGGTGCAGGCTGTGAGCCCCTCTGTCATCTCCCATTGCACTTGGAAGGAACAGCAGCATCTGGATGGGGTTCTAGCTCTGACTTCACATTTTCTTGTCTTTTGGGGTGCGTTCCTCAGCACACTAACTTTTTTTTTTAACTTTTTTCCTTGTTTTGTTTGTATTTCCTGTGGTTTTGTTTTGGGGGGCTGGGTTTTTCCCCCCTTTTTTGTGATTTGCAATGATGTGCTTGCCCAGCTAACTTTTCAATTGCACTTTTTAATAAATATTTGTAATGATTTTTTAAAGAAGGATATTTTATCTCAATTGTGATCATGGCAGGTAAGGAGATATGCCTGTTGATGAAAGCTGAAAGCAGATTTATAAAACAAAACGGGTGGTTGACATCTATGTTTACATTCAGCTCTAATGTTTGACATATAAATAAGTTATTTCTTTTCCAATTAGAGGGAAAAAATGAGTATCACAAACAGATTCAGATATGTAGGGTACCAGGCTATTTATATTTTACAAAGTTTTATGATTTACTTAAATAATCTTCTATAAACTTAGAATGGGGATGGTCCTTAGATTTACATTAAAATATGGAAGTCTTCTTGAAAATAAATGTGGACCTTGTCTGAGTACTGTAATCCACACACTACATTATAAGAAGCAAACCAGTTTCTTACAAAATAATATTGCCCTATTAAAGAAACCATCTATTGGCTAGGCATAGTGGCTCAAGCCTGTAATCCCAGCACTTTGGGAGGCTGAGGTGAGGGGACTGCCTGAGCCCACGGATTCAGCCTGGGCAACTTGGCAAGACCTTTCACTTCTACAATAAATCAAAAAAATTAGTTGGGCGTGGTAGCATGCTCCTGTAGTTCTGGCTACTTGGAAGGCTGAGACAGAAGGATTACCTGAGCCCAGCAGGTCGACACTGGGGTGGCTGTGAGTGTGCACTGCACTCTAGCCTGGGTGACAGACTGAGACTCCAACTCAAAAAAAATAAAAGTCATATATTGTTCTGTTATTACCAGATTTACTGTACCATGCAAAAAGATCACACGTAGTCAGTAGGGCCTATTTGGAACATGCCTGTCATTAATGAGTAAGATACTCCCATTACTTTAGGGACCAAATTTTGTGACCCTGAGACTTAGTGATGATTGACTGTATTTCGGGTAGGCATGCTGACCTCTCTGATTTGACTGCTATAGTCCTGACTTGGGCTGAAACTGAATAGGAAACAAGGAAGAGAAAGCCAACTTAAAATACAGGTATTCTTCCTACAGGACCACCATGCCATCTTGCCTCAGGCTGACTGATCCTGGGTCTAATCCTCTTGCGCTCTGACTGGGCTGTCACTACCGAACCAGTGTTTATTTGAAGGACCTTCACTCAGGTCCAAACTATGGCAGCCAAAGAGAGCAAGCCAGGGGACCCATATTTATTTTTAAGAACAAATATTTCCTCCTCAGTGACCCTAATGTTCTGAGTTTTAGGGGGAGCCCACGTGGTCTCGTCACCCTGTGTCCTAGAATGGGAGGGTGAGTAAACATCGGTGAGACCCCACACCACTTACAGTCGCATCCTTGTAGCACTTGGGCTTCTTTCCCTTCAGCCTCTGTACCTAGTACCATATTCCAGTGTGAGAGAACTGGCAGAACATCATGATGGATAACCAGGAAAGAGTTAATTTGTGTTCATTGGAAGAACATTGTACTGCACTGATTTTGTACTGCACTGATTTGGGGGGTAGGATGGGGAATGAACTATTGAGAGAGCTTGCAACAGTGTACATCCAGCTGGAAAACTGGAATTCCTTTAGTTTATAGTCCTAGTTTTGGGTCTTGTCTCTGTGTGGATGGTAAAGAATCTCGGTGCTGTGTGTACCCTAGACCATGTGGCAGCTGAAGTACAGTGTGTGTATGTTACATGAGGATCTTCTGCAGTTTCAGAACCCATGCCAGAGCCGAGGGGGGAGCTTGGAAACTTGCCCATTATTCTCTGCATTTAGCCAGAGTTAAACAGACTGATGGGTCTGGTAGCCAACAACTTGGCAACTTCCACTCCTTCTCACCTCGTGAGATTAAGGGCTGTGAAAAGAAATCTAGTCTAACTCCAACAGAAATCTGTCTCTGTTAAGTGTTTTACCTTCTGTAAGTAGAGGTGGTAGAGCCAAGATTTTTCTTTTGGTAATTTCCCTGGCTATAAAGTGAGACCAGAGGGATATCTATTCCTTAGTACCTTTCTGGAGAATTCATAGCATTTGAAGATCAAAAATTGAATGATAAGTGTGAATTGCTTTTCAACTGTGGGCACTTTGTTTGTTTGGCTTCACCTTGTACTGCGAGATGAATTTATAAACATGACACAATTGAACTGCCTGGAAAGTTGAAGTTCTAAAATGTGGAATGTGCTGCCTCTGATTTTTTCCTCTTTGTCTTCCTCTCACTGGCATCTGTTTCCCTCCCAGGTTTTTAAATAATGTTTTTTGCCCATCAAGAGTAGGGAGAGGTAAAACGAAAGCGTTTCCAACCTTGCAGTCCTTCAGTCACTGTGTCCCCAGCGACCTGCCCCAGCCAGAGGCCTCCCAGGGCCTTGGCTTCTGTTGGGGGATGTTTAGTCACCTGGCTGGCCTGATAGGAGGTGGTTCTTCTTTTCTTTCTATTAAAAAACAAAACAAAACCAGAATTTATTGAAAGCAGGAACCTTTCAGTAGCTCTGGTTCAACAAATCAGCTTAAAGAAAATATGTACAGAAGTCTCAGGAAAAGGAAAATAAAACAACTTGCATTCAATTTGAATAGGAATGAATTACTAGAATGGTCATGTTGCAGAATAATTCACAATACAACAAACAGTCATCCAAGCCCAGGGGTGAGAAGTCCACTTCTCAAATTCTTGGAACGCAGCCCACAATGCTTTGGGGCAGAGAGGCTGGCTGGAGCCCAGGATCTCACTGCTGACTGTGCGTAACTATTCCCTGCCCAGGGCACAGGTAAAACACGTGGAAGGAGGCCACCAGGTAAGGCACAGCTGCCCACCCCTAGCCCATGAACCCCACAAGAGAGATGTGCCCACTGCAGAGTCTGTGAGCCTGTCGGGGACTGTGAATAGCTTAGCGCTGGCTACTCTGTGGCCAGTCACATAAAACCCTAGACTGACCTATGCCCTACAGTTCTCTCATCCATATTCCCACCAACTAAAGAGCTATAGTAGTGAGATGGAGCTGCCTCTGGGCTGATTTTTGGTCTTCAGTAAATAGGGATAAACCTCCACACTGTTCCACAAGTCAGCTGGAAAAGAGCTGCTGGGCACAGCAGGTGAAAGATACCAAGTCTCATTTAGAAGCCTTAGCAGAAGGGGAGGGCAGGTGGGTGTGAGGAGACGTGCGTGTTCTGTGACTATGGTCTCTGCTGTGACCCATCCTGCTCTGCCATCTGGGCCTGACGTGTATGGTTCCCCCACTTCTAGACGTGCCCTCTCATGGCCCAGAGCGTTCCCTACTCTGAGGAGGGTGAGAAGGCAGTTTTCCTAGAACACAGGGTTCTTTCATGTTCCCTGTTCTGGAACTTCACACTCAAACAATAAACCTGAAGGGCAGAGGTCTCTTCAGGAGCCCAGAAGTGCCCCGAAAAGGTCCATCCAGCTAAAGTTGGCTTCTTGTTTGCGGGTCTGTCTTCTACTGCAGACTTGGCCAGGGTGGCTGAGAGTCTGATGCTTCTCGAGGTCTCTGGATGCAGCGGTGGAGTATCAGGCCTCCACAAGTCCCTGGCCAGTGGGAGCACGCTGTTCCTACCATCCCCAGCCCAGCGAGGAAGTCCCCTGTCAGTGGGAAGGCTGTCATCCACTGAGGTATTGAAGATTCACTCCTTAGCTGCTGAAGTACATAGGCCTCGTGTCAAGCTGGGGTGTCAGGCCTGGAGTTGGTTTCACCGTAGGCAACTCCAGTCGGCAGCAGCTGGGGTAACTTACCGTTTCCTGACTTTTTGCTTTTTCTTCTCCATATATGAACTGAGTTACCTCCTTGGATGAGAAGAACAGCTTTTGATCTTTCCAGTTTGAAGATTCTTTTATTTTCTTCTTCTTCCACTGTCATTTCATGCACTTGGACGTGTGAGTGCCCTCCTATCCACAGTTTTACTTTCCAAGATTTCAGTGACTTACCAGAAATGTGTTGTGCTGGAAAGCATTGACCCTGTACAGCAACTTCAGCAAGGGAGCCTGTGTGTGTAGGAAGAAGCCTAGTTTTGTGGAGTGGTACCATCCGCAGCTTCAAGCATCAGTTGGGTGTCTTGAAGTATGTCCCTGTGGTTGAAGGTGGACTAATGCATACAGCAAAGCATCATGTACGTGGTAAAAAAAAAAAAATAGATTATCTGTCCATTTGAAAACAAAATTGTGATGACTTCGGGGCTTCCTGCCTGTGCCCTGGTGCCTGACTGTAATGCTCCCTTGTATTGGGTGTTGAGGCTGAAATAATAGAAAGCAAAGCACTTGAATTCCCATCAGCTCCTGAAATAACAACCCTCTCGTGTACTTTAAAATACCCCAAAGCATGCACTCTGCATGTTACCCATGAAACAGTCTAAGATGGCGACTTCTCGTTCATGAGCCTGTGGCAGCTGAGGGTGTATGTGGTGGTGGTGGTCACCTGTTGGGCTAGCTGCATTGCCGCTCCCTCAGCTGCAGCTGCGAGGCTTTTATCAGCCCTTCTTTCGGGACTCACACCTCCACCAAGGCACTATGGCTCCGTCTAGGAAGGGCAGCAGTCGGGTGGCCAAGACCTGCTCACAGACTGGAAGCTGATTCCTTTCATAAGGACTCTGGGAAGTGTAATCACTATGCCAGCCATTTCAATCAGACATTCAGACCTCCTTCCATGAAGATCAAGGTCTCTACCCAGTTAGTGAGGAGAGAGTTGAATCTCAGATGCCAATCATCTGCCTCCACAGCCTGTGCTTTAGACACATCGTCCATGTTCGTGACTGTGGCCCAGACACCTCCCCTGCTGCCTGCCACAGCTGAGAAAGACACTCTACCAAAGATTCTCCTGGAGGGAAGGCACATGTGTCTAGGAGTTTACTGTGGCGAGCTCCAGACATGATCCATTTTGAATAAGATCATACATGAAAAGTACTATATTAAATAAAGTTGACCACATGAATCATATCATTAAGGTGTAAGTGGAGCACTTTGCTGAAAGGAGTCTTCTTAATTCTTTAGTGAAGCAAAGACCCTCTGTCCAGCGAACTGGAAGTCCAGTTGTTCATTCCTACTGGTGTTGA